AGGCCTCCCAGACATATTTTTATTTTCTGAGCCCTGCCATTAAGAACACCCTAGACTATGTCTGCATATGAAATACACACATTAAGACGGTAGCAATTCCAGCCCTGAGCTCTGGAATTTTCCAATTTCCTCTGGATTTGTGCACACACACAATTTTAGAAACTATCTCACTTTATTTCCAAGAGAAGCAACCCATCAATTATTTGAAAGAGATTCATCTGGTGAGCAATGAGGATCGCACTGTTGCATCCTTTAAAGATGCAGCGGAAAACATCCTGGGGAAGATGGAGCTGAGCCCCATCAGTCCAGGAACTACCCCTTCTTCCAATGTGATGCTTCAAATTGGCCAGGGCCAGACTCTCCAGATTGTTCAAGGCTGTATTGAACTGCAAACAGTAAGTCTGCTTTTATGCTCTGGCACTGATAGAGGGGAACCCTGGAATTAATTGTTTTCAATTTTTAAATCAATCAATCTATCCATCTATCTATCTATCTATCTATCTATCCATCTATCTATCTATTTTATGTATGAGTGCTCTGTCTACCTATAGGCTACATGTAAGCCTACATACCAGAATAGGGTATCAGATCCCTCTGTAGATGGTCGCTGGGAACTGAACTAAGGATCTCTGGAAGAGCAGCCAGTGCTCTTAACAGCTGAGTCATCTTTCCAGCCCTGATTTAATTGTTAATTATAAAGATGGTTAAACTGGAAGGTCACAGAATGTATCTTTTCAGGTTAAGAATGTGTACCTTGAACTGCCATGCGGGAAGGCTTTCAGTGAGGCTGAAGTGATGGGCAGAGAGACAGGGGAATCCACAGACAGGAGACAGGGAGTTTGGACAGACTCAAGATTAAAGTCATATCTTTATTATTGTTTTTTGGATCAGCGATGTGTCCTGTGGCCACAGACAAATTATAATTAACTGTTTGTTGGTGAGAATGGCGCTTCCTACCTACAAGTGGATCAGAGTGAAGATGGAGGAGACTATGAAATGAAGTATCTGAGGAGTCATTAGTGTAGCAGTTTAAAATCAAAGCATAGCAGCATTATTAGCAAATTTTACTGTATTTATTTGTTGTCAGCAGCATTAGGAACCTTACATTTTCTGAAGGGTGCCAGTGCTCCCCAATGGCAAATTCAAATTGCTTTTTCAGGGTAAAATCATTAATGTTCCTGATAAACGGAGCACTTTGGCACATGCCTGGATTCCCAACACCCCAGACAGAGACAGAGGATTTGATCCAAATCAAGTTGCAGGCCAGCCAAGACTACATAGAGACACCCTGTCTCCAAACAAACAAAATCCATAGAAGTATGAGTAAGCTTCCTTCGATGGAGCCAGAGTCATTAGGATAAGAATTTGGACACTGAAGTAGCAAGAACACAACTGCCTTTAACACTGTTCTCAAAGTTATAAGATACAAGATTTGTGTTTTTTCACGGTCTTAGCAACCCTGTGAAAGGGTCGTTTGGCCCCCAAAAGGGTCCAGACCCACAGGTTGAGAACTGCTGCTGCTGTAGATGAACTGGTTAAAGTGGTTGCCTGAGAGTGGGTGGATGAGTGTATCTGGTGACCCCATGAAGAAAGAAAGCTACTTTTTGCCAAAGACCTTTTGGTCTCATTTACATTTTCTTGAGCCTTGTACATGAGATCATTAAGACTTGAGATGGCAGAGTTCCCAAGAAACTTTATTCTTTGTTACAAAACAACATACATAGAAATAGCAGGAAGAGACCCAGGTAAGGCAGAGAAGGAAACCTGTGAGGATTTTTCTCAAAAATCACCATGGGTTAGGGATTTGGCTCAGTGGTAGAATGCTTGCTTAGCATATGCAAGGTTATAGTAGTAAATTACCAATACGGAGGCTTCCCCTACACAAGGTCCTGGGTTCAATCCTTAGCAATGGAGAAAACAACACAACTGGGTGTGGTAGCCAGTGTATGCTGGTAATTTTAGCACTGGAGAGATGAAAAGATGGTTCAGGGTTTATCTGGGATTCATAGTGAAGTCTGGTCTGAATCCATAACCTTGTAATCGCAGCCCTGAGGATGTAGGTGCAAGAGGATCAGGAATTTAAGGTCATCATCAGCTATGTGGGAAGTCTTGGGTCCGTCAGGCTACAGGAGACACAGTCTCAAAACAAAACAAGGTGTGTGGTGCTTGCCTTTAAACCCAGCACTGAAGAAGCAGAGACAGATGGATCTTTGTGAACTTGAGATCAGCCTGGTCTACACAGTGAGTTACAGGCCAGCCAGGGTTGCATGGTGAGACTCTGTCCCCAAAATAAAAACAATAGGGCAACCAAGGAGGCTGGGATAGTATGACTGTTATCTAGTAGAGGATCTTCGTTCTGTCCTCACCACCTGAATCAGGCAGCTCTCAGCTCTCTGTGATTCCAGCTCCACTATACTCATGTGTACAAACCCATACAGAGACAGACACACAGTTGAAAATAAAATCTTAGTATTTTATGGGTATAAGTGTTTTGCCTGTGTGTCTGGCACCAATGCATGCTTGGTGACTTCAGAGGTGAGAAGAGGGCTTTGTATCCCGTAGGAGTGGGTTATTGACAGTTGCAAGCTGTCATGCGACAGCTGGGAAATAAATCCAGGTCCTCTGCAACAGCCACTAGTGCTCTTAACCACTGAACCATCTCTGCAGTCTTGGGGCTGGAGAGACAGCTCAGCTGTTAAGAGCACTGGCTGCTCTTCCAGAGGTCCTGAGTTCAATTCCCGGAAACCACATGGTGGCTCACAACCATCTATAATGAGACCAGGTTCCCTCTTCTGGCTTCAGGGGCACATAACACATACAGGCAGAATGCTGTACACATAATAAATAAATGTTTAAAACATAAAACAAAACAAAGCTGGATGTTTAATCCCAGCACTGAGGAAGCAGAGGCAGG